TTTTGCAGATAATATGATGATATACTTGGAAAATCCTAGACATTAAACTAAAAAGCTAGTTGAAACAATAATTTTAGCAAAGTAGCAGCATATAAAACAAACCCAGCATCAAACATCAGAATTTCTATGTATCACTAATAAAACCCTGAAAGAATAGATAATGATATATACCCCATTTAAAACAATTATAGACGACATAAAATACTTGGGAGTATACCTGCCAAGACAAACTCAGGAATTACATGAATATAATTATTTTTAAAAAACCTTTTATACAAATAAAATCAGATTTAAATAGTTGGAGAATTATTAATTGTTCAGGGGTGGTCAGAGTCAATATAATAAAAATGACAATTCTACCTAAACTAATCTACTTATTCAGTGCCATCCCAATTAAACTATTAAACTATTTTATTGAGCTAGAAAAAATAATAACAAAATTTATTTAGAGGAACAAAAGATCAAGAATATCAAAGGAATTAATGAAAAAATGTCATGGAGGTTTAATAATACCAAATCATTGAAAGAAATGATTATTGAATAACTAATTGTTAATACTGGGGAGACCTAAGATTTTTTCCCTTTCTCATTTGGAGATTAGGTCAAAGCTTAATTCTGGCCCATTGTTTTCTACTTAGGCAGGCTACATTGCCTGAGCCTGGGGGTGGTCTGACTTGAGAGAGTCTCTCTTTGTACATGAGTGACATCATCATCTCCAAGCCCCTGGTTAAAATAGGTCCACCTCTCATTATAATATTCATTCTCTCATTACGCGTTAACCAATCAGAGTTGATTTCCACCCTCAGGAACACCTACTCTCCAAAGAGCATATAAGCACTGAGTGGGTTCCATGAGGGGTCTATATATCTTCCCTCTATCTGAAAGACCTATTACAGTAGAGGGAAAGAAGGGAGACGATGAGCATTGTTTGAACCTTACTCTCATTGGATTTGGCTCAAAGAGGGAATAACATACACATTTATTTGGGTAGAAAAATCTATTTTACCCTATAGAGAAGAAGGATTATTGTTTGTCTTTCATTCTTGCAGAGAACCATGACATCAGTGGGGTGAAGGGGAAGGGGAAAGAAAAGGAAGGGGAGCTGATAGAAGGGAGAGCAGATTGGGGGAGGGGTGGTCAGAAGCAAAACACTGATGAGGAGGGACAGGGTGAAAGGAGAGAGGAAAGTATAAAGGTAGAAATATAGGATGGAGGGAAATATACAATTTGTAATCATAACTGTGAATGTGAATGGATGATTCTCCCATATAAAAAAAGCAAATAGCAGAGTGGATTAAAAACTAGAATCCTAAAATATGCTGTTTACAAGAAACACATTTGAAGCAGAGAGACACACACAGAGTAAAGATAAAAGACTGGAGCAGAATCTATTATGCTTTAGGTGAAGTGAAAAAAGCAGGGGTAGCAATCCTGACCTCAGACAAAGCAAAAGCAAAAACAGATCTAATTAAAGAGATAAGGAAGAAAACTACATCTTGCTAAAAGGTACCATAGATAATGAAGTAATATCAAAACTAAATATACATGCACCAAGTGGTATAGCATCCAAATTCTTGCTAAAAGGTACCATAGACAATGAAGTAATATCAAAACTAAACAATATGCATCAAGTGGTACAGCATCCAAATTCTTTTTTTTTTTTAAGCCATTAGGGTTAAGTGACTGGCCAAGGGTCACACAGTTAGTGTCAAGTGTCTGGTCTGAGGCCGAATTTGAACTCAGGTCCTCCTGATGTCAAGGCTGGTACTCTATCCACTGTGCCACCTAGCTGCCCCCAGCATCCAAACTCTTAAAGAAGTTATGTAAGTTCCAAGAAGAAATAGACAGCTGATTTTATGGAAGAAAAAAACAATAAAATAGATAAATCTTAGGTTAATTTGATTTAAAAAAGGAAAGAAAGAAAACCAAATTACCAGTATCAAAAATGAAAAGGGTGAATTTACCACCAATGAAGAGGAAATTAAAATAATAATTAGGAGCTATTTAGCTCAACTGTGTACCAGTAAATCTGACAGTCTAAGTGAAATGGATGAATATTTACAAAAACATAAATTGCCCAGACTGACAAAAGAGGAAATAAAATTTTAGAAAAAGAAGTTGAACAAGCCATAAATGAACTCCCAAATCAAAAATCTCCAGGGCCAGATGAATTTACAAGTGAATTCTATCAAACATTTAAAGAACAATTAATTCCCATATTTTGTAAACTATTTGGAAAAATAGGCAAGGAAGGAATCCTACCAAATGTCTTTTATCACACAAATACGGTGCTGATAACCTAAACAAGGAACAGCCAAAACGAAGAAAGAAAATTATAGACCAATTTCCCTAATGAATATTGATGCAAAAATTTTAAATAAAATATTAGCAAAGAGATCACAGCAATTTATCTTGAGGATAACACACTCTGACCAGGTGGGATTTATACCAGAAATGCAGAGCTGGTTCAATATTAGGAAAACTATCAGCATAATTAACCATATCAATAACAAAACCAACAGAAATCATATGATTATCTCAATAGATGCTGAAAAAGCTTTTGACAAAATGCAGCACCAATTTCTATTAAAAAAAAAACAACTAGAATGTATAGGAATAAATAGAGCTTTCCTTAAAATGATAAGTAGTATTTATTGAAAACTATCAGCAGGCATTTGTAATGGGGATAAGCTAGAAGCTTTCCCAGGTAGTTAAGGGGTGAAAAAGAATGCCCATTATCACCACTATCATTCAATATTGTACTGGAAATGTTAGCTTTAGCAATGACAAGAAAAAGAAATTGAAGGAATTAGACTAAGCAGTGAGGAAACAAAGCTATCACTCTTGGCAGATGATTTGATAGTATACTTAGGGAATCCTAGAGAATCAACTAAAAAGCTACTTGAAATAATAAACAACTTTAGCAAAGTTGCAGGATATAAAATAAACCCACATAAACCATCAGCATTTCTATATATTACCGACAAAACTCAGCAGCAAGAAATAGAAAGAGAAATTACATTTAAAATAACTGTAAACAATATAAAATATTTGGTAGTCTACCTGCCAAGACAAACGCAGGAACTATATGAACACAATTACAAAAACACTTTTCACACAAATAAAGTCAGATCTAAACAGTTGGGAAAATATCAGTTGCTCATGCATAGGCCAAGCTAACATAATAAAAATGACAATTCTACCTAAATTAATTTGCTTATTTAGTGCCATACCAATCAAACTACCAAAAAAATTATTTGATAGAGCTAGAAAAAATAATAACAAAATTCATCTAGAAGAATAAAAGGTCAAGAATATCACAAGGATTAATGAAAAAATGCAAAGGAAGGTGACCTAGCCATATCAGATCTAAAACTATATTATAAAGCGGCAATCATCACAACTATTTGGTACTGGGTAAGAAATAGACTGGTGGATCAGTGAATAGTTAGGTACACAAGACACAGTAGTAAATGATTATAGTAATCTACCGTTTGATAAACCCAAAGACTCCAGCTTCTGGGACAAAAACTCATTATTTGACAAAAACTGCTAGGAAAACTGGAAAATAGTATGGCAGAAACTAGGCATAGAATCATTTCACACCCTATACCAAGATAAGGTCAAAATGGGTACATGATTTAGACATAAGGGATAATACCATAAGCAAATTAGGAGAGCAAGGAATAGTTTACCTGTCAGATCTATGGAGAAGGGAAGAAATTATGACCAAACAAGAGATAGAGAACATTATGAAATGCAAAGTGGATGATTTTGATTACATTAAATTAAAAAGATTTTTGCACAAACAAAATCAATGCAACCAAGATTAGAAGGAAAGCAGAAAAATGGGAACCAATTTTTACAGAATGCCAGTGTTTCTGATAAAGGCCTCAATTCTAAAATATATAGAGAACTGAGTCAAATCTGTAAGAATACAAGTCATTCCCAAGTCAGAGGATATGAACAGGCAGTTTTCAGATGAAGAAATTAAAACTATCTATAGTCATATAAAAAAAAGTTCTAAATCACTACTGATTAGAGAAATGCAAATTAAAACAACTCTGAGTACCACCCCACACCTATTAGATTGGCTAATATGACAGAAAAGGAAAATGATAAATATTGGAGAAGATAGGGGAAAACTGAAACACTAATGCATTGTTGCTGGAGTTGTGAACTGATCCAACCATTCTGGAGAGCAGTTTGGAACTGTGCCCAAAGGTCAATGAAACTGTGCATACTCTTTGATCTAGCATACCACTACTGGGTCTGTATCCCAAAGAGATCACAAAAAAAGGGAAAAGGACCTACATGTGCAAAAATATTTATAGCAGCCCTTTTCAGGGTGGCAAAATATTGGAAATTGAAGTGATGCCCATCAATTGGGGAATGGCTGAACAAGTTGTGGTATATGAATGTAATGGGATACTATTGTGTAATAAGAAATGATGAACAGGCAGACTTCAGAAAAACCTGGAAAAACTTGATGGTATGAACTGATGCAAAGTGAAATGAGCAGAACCAAAGCCATGTAGGAAGGGCTCTTCTTTATTTGGGGATGCATCCAGTGCACAAATTCAGAATGGCTCATGGCCGCTGATCGCCACTTGTCAGAGTCAAGCTTTAAGCAGAAAATCAAAGGACTAGGCATCTATTAAGTGCACCAAGTGCCTTATAAATACTTCTCATCAGCAGTTAGATTAGATGACCACAAAGGGTCTTTCCAGGTCTGCAGTTCTAATTCTATCGTTCTATGACTTCTATAAGTTCATAGCTATCAACCCCCAGGCTGCTTTCTGGAGCCACAGTGAACTTTCTCTTGTTCAAACTAGGGCTATGGAAGTCTACTACCCAAAAAACCATCGTGTGACGGTCAACTATGAATGACTCTGCTGTTCTCAGCCACACGCTGATCCAAGACAAGTACAAAGGACCCGGGACAGAAAATGCTGTCCACATTGCGATACAGAACTGATTGATGCAATGCAGACCCAAGCATGTTTTCCTCACTTACTTTATTCTTTTTCTTGGTTTTTTCCCCTTTTGATAGGTTTCTTCTTTCACCACTGTGACTAACATGAAAACATGATTTACATGATAACACATGTATGACCTGTATCAAATTGCCTACCATTTTTTAAAGAGGGGAGGGACAGAGAAAAATTTGGAACTCAAAATCTTGTAAAAATTTTCCTTATATGTAATTAGGGGGAAAATGCTATTTTTAAAAAAGAGGGGAGGGGAGAGGCAGGGGAAACAGAGGGGGAGGGCCAGAGGGAAGGGGGAGGGGCTGAGGGAAGGGGAGGGGCAGAGGGAAGAGAGGGGGAGGGCCAAAAGGAGGGGAGGGGCAGGGGGAGAGTCAGAGGGAAGGGGGGAGGAGGAAAGGAAGGGGAGGGGGAGGGGAGAGGAAAACTGCAGCACACCCAGGCACTGGGAGGAAGTTATCTGCTGCTCTCCTGGGAGGCCAAACTGCCAGTCTTCGGGTGAGTTCCTCTGCCTGGGCCTGAACCTTCTCCTTGCCCTCTGGACTCCTCCCTCCCCCCAGGCCCCCTCCCCGCCCCCAGGCCCCCCCCCTGCCCCCCAGGCCTTCCCCCTGCCCCCCCTGGCCTCCTCCCTGCCCCCCTCCCTGCCTCCAGGCCTTCTTCCTCCTCCCTGGCCTCCTTGCTGCCCCCCACGCCTCCTCCCTGCCCCTCCCTGTCCTTCTCCCTTCTTCCTGGCCTCCTCCCTACCCCCCTGGCCTCCTCCCTGCCTCCAGGCCTTCTCCCTTCTTCCTGGCCTCCTCCCTGGCCTCCTCCCTGCCCCCTTGGCCTCCTCCCTGCCCCTGGTCTCTGCCCCCTACTCTAGTTCAGGCCCTCACTGTCCCTCCCCTGTGTTGCTGGGGTCACATCCTGCTTGGCCTCCCTGCTCCCAGCCTCTGCCCACTCCAGTCCACCCCTTCGGCTGCTGTGGCTTCTTTGGCTCGGCCCTGCGGAGCTTCCCCTCTGCCACCCTCCTCTCCAGAGCTCTCAGTGGCTCTCGGGGCCTCCGAGGGCCAGCTCTGACCGAGCTTCCCAGACATTTCAGATGCCTGCCCTCAACGTGATCCACATTGGAGCGCAGGAGGAGGATGGGGAGCCTGGGGCAGCCCCTGCCTTGTGCGGCTTCAGAGAGGAGGCCCCCCGCCCCGGCTAAGGGTGAGTGCTCCCTCCCGTCTGCCTTAGTGGTCCTTCTCTCCCTTCTTCCGTTCAGGGGCTGCCTCCTCCGGGAAGCTTTCTGGGTCTGCACTTTATCTTTGTCTCTGGATCCCCAGCTCCAGTAGCACAGCATCGGTAAGATCTGCTGGGTGGAATCCAGTTGAAATCCCCTTCCGCCCCTGGGTCCTTAGGTTGAAACTCTGGCGGGCTCTCTGCCCCTGCCTAGGCTCCCCTTCTCCCTTCCAGGCCTTTCCAGCCTGCACCCTCCCTTCCCTCCTCTTCCTGGCCGCCGACCCTGACTGCCTTTCCTGTTTCTCCCCTTGCATCTACGAGAGACACCGTCCTTGCCCCCAGATCTGAGCCCTTAGGAAGCCCTCAGGAAGCCCTCAGGACTCCCCCACCTTCACGGGACCGCCTCCCGATGAGGTCAAGAGGTTAGGGGTGCTGGGACCCCGAGATCATGACAGGCAGGGCCTGCCCGAAAGAATTCGACCCAAGCCTTCTTTCAGCAAAAAACAAGGTTTATTGAAGACCCACCATCTTGCCAGACTCTTGAGGCATCTGAGAGTCTGCCAGTATTGGCTGGATTCCAAGAGTCTGAGCAGCGGCTCTGTTTGAGGAATCTGAGCATCTTAGTGGAGACAAGATGGACCTTATATACAGAAAGGCTGTGGGAGGGGTCTAGGAGCAGCCAAGTGGTTTGGGGTGATGGGAGGACGGGCCTAAGGAGATGTGGATGGGAGTGGCCGGTGGGAGATGGCCCCGGGCCCTAGGGAGGCCTAGGCTGGGTTAAGGGTAACAGCACTGGGAGACGGGGTGTGGCCACCGTGAAAGGCCAGTTGATGGGATTATAGCCTCAGGCCAGTGAGGGAAAGTCCAGGGTCCAGATCCCAGCCCCATCACTCCCAGCAGAGAGGACCACCACCCCGGTGCCCACGGCCACGAGTCCCCGTCTCTGGAAGGCGAGGGGTTGCTGAGTCGGGGAGTCCATGGGGACGTTTCTACACGGAGGCCTGGGCCGGCTCTCCTAGCCGTCCAGCCTTCTGACGCCTTGCTCCCCTCACCCGCTCTGCATCTCCCTCCTCAGTGCCTCTTCCCTGGCTGCCCCTCCCATGCTTGGGATCGTCTCCCTCCCGGTCTCCATCCGGCCTCCCTTCAAGCCCCGCTTCTGCGGGAGGCCTCTCCTGGTCCCCTTCCCCTTTCAGATGACCTTCATCTGCCCCCTGTCCTTGAAGGTCCTTGAAGGAGGGATTGGTGGACTGACTGTCCTCTCCTCCCTGCAGAGGCCATGACGGGTGCCTGGGACTCCTCTTTCCCCACCTTCCACTTTCTGCTCTTCTTCTTCGTGGCTTCCACCATCTTCTACCTGAAATGGCAGAACCCGTGGAAGCTCCCCGACCTCCCAGGCCCCAGGGTCCAGCTGCCGCCCAGCAGCTGGACAGTGGACGCCAGAGGCCGCCTGGGGAACCAGATGTGCCAGTACGCCACGCTCTACGCCCTGGCCAAGCTGAACGGGAAGCAGGCCGTCATCTCGCCCAAGATGCAGAAGACCCTGGGCCACCTCTTCGGCGTCACGCTGCCGGTCCTCACGGACAGAGCGGCCCTGCAGATCCCCTGGCTCAGCTACTGGCTGGAGGACAGGATGAGGGAGGAGTACCGCCACATCCCGTGGAACTATATCATCTTCAAGGGCTACCCCTGCTCCTGGACTTTCTACCACCACCTGCGGGACGAAATCCTCCGCGAGTTCTCCCTGCACGCCAAGGTCCGGGAGGAGGCCCAGGCCTTCCTGCGCCAGGCACGCAAGGGCCAAGGCAGCAACCTTACTTTCGTGGGGGTCCACGTGCGCCGGGGGGACTACGTCCGTGTCATGCCTCAGAAGTGGAAGGGGGTGGTGGCAGACAGGGGCTACCTGGAGCAGGCATTGGACTGGTTCCGGGCCCGCCACACCAACGTTGTCTTTGTGGTCACCAGCGACGGGATGGACTGGTGCCAGAGAAACATCGACACGTCCAAGGGGGACGTGGTGTTTGCCAAGGGATGGATAAGGCGGTCTGCGGTGAAAGACTTCGCCTTGCTGACTCAGTGCAACCACACCGTCATGACCATTGGCACTTTTGGCTTCTGGGCTGCCTACATGGCCGGAGGAAACACCGTCTACTTGGCCAACTACACCCTACCCAACTCCATGTTCTTGGACATCTTCAAACCCGAGGCGGCCTTCCTGCCAGAGTGAGTGGGGATCCCTGCTGACCTGTCCCCTCTGCTCAGGGACCAACCTTAGCCCTCCTCCAGCCCAGCCCTCCATCTGAGAGTGGACCGAGAAGAGAATACGGGATGGGTTCTCTCCCCTGGCTCCACCCTCCAGACAGTCGCCCAGCCCATCACCTGCCTCTCCTCCTTCTTCTGTGTTCACCGAATTCCCCCGGTGGCTCTCCTTTCCCCAAGGAGGCCGAGCTCCCACAGGCTGGAGACATCTCTGGCCTTCTCCCAGCATTGGGCACTTGACCGAATAAAGGTTTGTACAGTTCACTAGTTGGCCTCTGAACTGGGCAGTGGGCTGGGGATTGGAGCCTCATCCCCTCATTGTGTGAATAGTAGTGATAATAATAAAACTAACATCGATGCAGCACTTTAAGGCTTGCAAGGTGCTTTTAACATACATGTGCATATGACGTACACATATACACCTTTTTATAATGTATGCTTTAATAGTGTTTATGAGGACAAGAACCTGTGACGTCATTGGCTTAGGAAGCTCCTCGGGAAGAAAGGGGCTCTCCCGCCGTACGTGGGCATCTTCTCTACAATTTACGGCCTCCTGGAGTCTTTAGGCCACGTGCTAACTTGGTAAACCACAAATTCACATTATCTGTGTTTTACTGTGTTTTCATTTATTTTGTTTCACACTTCCAATTACATTTTAGTCTGGTTCAGGCCGCACTCAGAGGAGACCCAGGGCCTGCTCTTGGTCCTAGGCCCCAGGGACAGCTCTCCACTCACTATTCCAGGCTGCCTGGGCACTTTATGTATAGTGCTCATTTAATTTTCATTAATTTAATTACTCATTTAATTCTCCCAGCAACCCTCTGAGGTTGGTATTATTATTCTCATTTTACAGATGAGGAAACTGAGGCTGAAAGGGGTTAAGTGACTTGCGTAGGGTCACGCACTAACCGTCTGAGGCAGAATTCCCATTCTGGTCTAGGTCTAGTATTCTACCTAAGGGGCCTCTTCCACCCAGCGCGGAGAAAGGACCTGAAGGACCAGAGGGTCAGTGCCGCCCAGGCCAGGCTTGTCTCTGTCTCCGCTGTGTTCTCTGCCTTTGTTTTTGCCCCAGACGGTGTCTCTGTGGTATAGTGGACAGACAGAAAGGCTTGGGGTCAGGAAAACCTCGGTTCAACTCCCATTTCTGACTGGGCAGATCACCCCTGGCATCCTTCGTCTCCTCACTTGTCAGATGAGAAGGTCGGGCTTGGTCTCTGAGTTCCCTCCCGTCTCCAGATCTAAACCGCGTCTCCATGGGAATCAAGAATGCCTTTGGCTGGAGGATGGGGAGGGGACGGGAAGGGGAGGGAATATGGCGTACTTCATGCCTACTCAGGCACTGTGCCACACGCTTTTTACAATCTCATCTGTCCTCACAGCAACGTGGCAAGGGTCGGTGCTGGTATTACTCCCATTTTACAGTTGAGGAAACTGAGGTTAAACGACTTGCTTGGGGTCCCAGAAGTAGAGCCTCATCATTCAATTCCACCTTTCTTTCTGCCGTACCAAGAGGGTCCTTTGTGCACCTGCGGCAGAGAACAGCCGAGTAAGTCCCTTAATGTCTCTGGGCCTCAGTTTCCCTTTTGGTAAACGAGGAGGTTGGATGAAGTGACCTTTAAGTCCAATTCTAAGTCCTCTGACTCTGGGCCACTGTCTGGGACACACACACACACACACACACCCCTTTGTCCAGGGGCTCTTATCTCCGCCTGTCCGTCCCTGAATTTCTTATGTCCCTGTTTCTTTGTGTTATCGTCTCTTTCCTGCTGTCTGTTCCTCCCTTGCTGTCTAGGGCCCACAGCCCCGAGGCAGGGCACCTTAGCAGTCGCTGGCCTGCCCCCAGGGCCCAGGGTCTGCGCCCACTGGACTCTTCCAAGTTAACGGTCAGTACTGGACGGGGCTGGAACCAGAGGTTCAGCAGCCAGTGAGAAGGGAGAGTGGGAAGATAGGGGCAGAAAGAGAAGACGCAGACAACCCTTTGCTCTGAGGAGGAGGATTACGAGAATGTCCTTCAGGAGTCTGGGAGCATTAGAAGGTCTGACAATCATTACTGAGAGGAGATGGAGGGCCTCACGATGGAGGATTTGGAACCCCCAACTGACCCAGCCTCCCCTTCCATGGTGCCCTCCAGAATGGGTTCCAAAGGTAACAACCTTTCTTCACGGCCACCCTTCCAGCATCGACTGCACTTGCACTCATTCTCCTTCCCTCCTCCCCCATACTCATTGGTTGTGGTGAGGAAGTCTTGGCCATTTGTATGCTCTCCCACTATTGCTGCTGCTAAATGGCTTCTCCTTTGAAGATCCCTCAGTCCCTATCTGCCCCCGAGTCTAGACTCTGATGGCTGTTAGCGACCCACTCCCAAGACACTTCCTTCCGTGGTGAATTCCGTCCTTTCTCACCGTCTTTCACCCTCACAGGAGGGAACTTCGCCATCGATACTGATACTCCCTCAAACACCCTAACCTCCTCATTCCTCCGTTCACTCGCTTGCCATGACCTCCTTCTCCACACCGCCTTAGTGACGCACAGAGACGTGTGTCATACCCTTGGTCCCGCTATCTGTCATCCACAAGTGTTTCACTTCTGTGTCCTTTACCTAATCATAGTCCATCGTTCTATTTTTTTTTCTGTCTTATAACCCCTAACACTATTCTCTGACCTCACCATGACCTCCAGTCCCTTTAGTTCTTTCTGCACTGGCTACACTTTCCTCCCTTGCCCATCTTGACCCTCTAATGAACAAGTCCAACTCCACTCTATCCTTTTCTCTTGAACTCCTTGCCCCCTTATCCTATCTCTGAATATTCCTTGCCAAGCCTTAATGTTGGATTACTTCCACCATGCACTGACTTTGATCCTGTTCACAGGCTGCTGAATGAAACTCGATAAAAATCACAAAACTTCCCTTTGGGGCCACTATAAATTTATGGTACATAACCTCAAGCGGGCCCTCCATGCAGCAAGACAATCAGTTTATACCTCTCTAATATATTCACTGATCTCAAAAATGACCCAATGATGTCTGTTTGGATCCAAGGCAAATCATTAACAATCACAGTAATACACGTCTGTGCTCCAAACACTGAAGCCAAAGAGGCCAAAGTTCATCAGTTCTGTAAAGACTCACAATATCTTCCCGAAATAACATCCTAAAAAGTTGTCACGTTCATCATATGGGATTGGAATGCTAAAGTGAGAAATCGACAGTCAACTGGAATAACGGGCAAGTTTGGCCTTGGAGTACAAAACGAAACAAGGCAGAGACTAATAGAGTTTTACTCTGCCAAAAGAACTCACTGGTCATAGCAAACACTCTTTTTCAACAACCCAAGATGTGACTCTACACATGGATATCACCAGATCATCAATACGGAAATCAGATTGATTACATACTTTGCAGCCAAAGGTGGAGAAGCTTCTTACAGTCAGTTGAAACAAGACCTGGAGCTGACTCTGGCTCAGATCAAGAGCTTCTTATTGCAAAATTAAAACTTAAAGAAAGTGAGGAAAACCATAAGACTGTATAGGTATAACCTAAATACATCCCTTATGAATATGAAGTGGAAGTGATAAGTAGATTGAAGGGATTAGATCTGGTAGATAGGGTGCCTGATGAACTATAGACAGAGGTTTGCAATATTGTACAGGAGGCAGCAACAAAAAAAAAAACATTCCAAAGAAAAAGAGGAGCAAGAAAGCAAAATGGCGGTCTGGTGAGGCTTTACAGATAGGTGGGAAGCAGTAGCTAGGTGGTACGGTGAATAGAGCACTGGCCCTGGAGTCAGGAGGACCCGAGTTCAAATCTGGCTTCAGATATTTGCTAGCTGCATGACTGCAGGCAAAACACTTAACCTCGTTGCTGAAAAAAAATATACAGCCAAGGAAAGAAGGAAAGTGAAAGGTAAAGGAGAAAGGAAAAGATATATCCAACTGAATGCAGAATTCCAGAGACTAGCAAGGAGAGATAAAGTTTTCTTAAATAAGTAATGCAAAGAAACAGAATAAAACAATAAAATGGGAAAGTCAAGAGATCACTTCAAGAAAATTAGAGACAGCAAGGGAATGTTTCATGCAGAAATGGGCATGCTAAAAGACAAAAATGGAAGGGACTTAAGAGAAGTAGAAGAGATTAAGAAGAGGTCTCAAGAGTATACAGAAGAATTATACAAGAAAGATCTTAACATCGCCAATAACCATGATGATGTGGTTACTGATCTAAAGCCAGACATCCTGGAGAATGAAGTCACGTAGACCTTAGGAAGCATTGCTAACAATAAGGCTAGTGGAGGTGATGGAATTCCAGCTGAGCTACTTAACATCCTCAAAGTTGATGCTGTTAAAGTGCTACACCTAATATGCCAGCAAATTTGGAAAACTCAACAGTGGTCACTGGATTAGAAAAGATCAGTTTTATGTCTCAATCCTAAAGAAGGGTAGTGCCAAAGAATATTCAAATTATCAAACAACTGTATTCATTTCACATGCCAGCAAGGTCATGCTTAAGATTCTGCAAGCTAGGCTTCGGCGATACATAAACCAAGAATTACCAGGAGAGCAGGCTGGTTTTCAAAGAGGCAGAGGAATTAGAGACCAAATTGCCAACATTTGGTGGATTATGGAGAAAGCAAGGGAGTTCCAGAAAAACATCTACTTCTGCTCCATGGACTACACTAAAGCCTTTGACTGTGTGATCACGATAAAATATGGCAAGTCCTCAAAGAGACGGGAGTGCCAGGTCATCTTTATTTGTCTCCTGAGGAACCTTTATGCGGGCCAAGAAGCAACAGTTAAAACTGAACATGGACCAACCAATTAGTTCAGGATTGGAAAAGGAGTACGGCAAGGCTATAAATTGTCGCTTTATTTAATGTGTATGCAGAGTTGTTCTTATTGTTGAGTTGTTTCAGTTGTGTCTGTCTCTTCATGACCCCCTTTTTTTGGGGGGGGCGTGTTTCTTGGCAAAGA